AAAATAGATATTTGTAATAATTAAAACAAACAAGTATAAAAAATTTCTGTTTAAATGTAAAATTTATGTTATTTATTAATAATTACTAATAATTATACGAATAAATATCATTTATAATTATATAAATGTAATATTTAACATTTTACTCTTCTTTCGTAATATTTCACTACCTCATAATCTATACTCACTAAAATTTATCAAATACACAATATATATATATATATATATTATTCATGTTAATTTTAAGTTAACATGTTTCAATGACAATTGTTAAATAATAAATAAATATATAATACTCCTTTGATACTTATTATAAGATAATTGATAGTCTCTTTTACAAAACACTTTACAATTTTTACAAAACATTAATTTTATTTTTATTTGTTGTTTCTATTAAAGATTGTGAAAATATGTGTTTCTCTCTCACTTTTAAAATTCTCAATTAATCATTTATCATACCTCTATCATGAAAATTTAATAAAAATGAGTAGTATAAAATTGGTAAATCATGATCTTATTTTATAAATCTAATAAAATTAATTAGTATAATTACTTATATTGATCTATTTGATAAATTAAAAATGTTTTATAATAAAAATAAAAGAAAATACATTTTAATTAAATAAAATTTAACTTTACAAAATTAAAATACATGAAATATATAAAAGATATTACCTCCTATCTATTATTTTTTTATGGATCAAAAGAGTAGAAGAAATACGAGAAAAACTTGCGAGAAAGTTTGAAACATTCATATTTTAATAATATATTATAATATGAACACGCAATTATTAAGAGAAATGGTTCTCTTCTGGTATCTCGGTTTTAATTAAAAATGGGACTAAGAGTTTATCTCCGATGAGCAAATTTTATTTTTGAAAATTTTAATATTGGTTGTGTCATAAATAAATTGCTGTTGGAGTTGCTAATAAGAATCAAAAGATTTAAAGAAAAATAAAAATAATGAGATGGTAATATAAATTCTCGAAAAAGATTTGAGAATAAAATAACATAACCTAGGTGCTAATCACATGATTATCCCTTTAAAAAAAAAGCAACTCAATAAGTACGGAATAAGCAAATAAATTATATCTACGTACCATCTTTAACCCTTAGTTACATAAAATTTATTGTGTTTTGCAGTTTTACACATTTTAAGTCACCATTACTACCTTTAAGATCATACCTTTATGCAAATTAAGAAGATGAGATAAATCAAAATTGAAACTCAATCTTCTAATTGAAGCGATAAAGTTAATTGATTTTTAAAGCAACCCTAAACCTAATGTTTTTTAAAAACGCCCATGGGATGTCAGATTAGTTTATTAGTGATTCCCATGGTATTGTAGAAATAAAAATATAGTAAAGACGAAGCTCATAATAATGCAGTCTTATCTTAGAAGATAAACCAAACACAGCTTTGAAAGTTGCATTATAATAGTAGTAATGGGGTGTGAAGTTACATTATTGAATGGAGAAAAGAAGCTTCGTAGCGATGAGGATAAAGGACTTAGGGAAATATATATAATATAATATAAAGCAAGTAATTAAAAAAAGAAAATATATGTGATTTAGATTTAAGAAGAAGAAAAAAAAGGCGCGTGGCAAGCGGTGGTTTAAGCATTCCTACAGTTGGGGCAACGGAAAAAGGATTGTGAGCATTTGTTGGACACAGAAATAGATTATAGATCGATCATTGGTCTCTCACACTCACACACACACACACACACACGCACGCTCTCTCCTTTCCCGATTCCACTGCGCAGTGAGTCTTCCATCAAACCCTTATTCTTCTATTTCGCTTTTTTCCTTTCCATCTATCGCTCGCGCTTCTTCTCGCCGCTACTCATTCCGATTTCCGATTCTTCATTATGGTTTTTTAGATTTCCATTTCTTTCTATTTTACATGCACTACTTTCCATTCCCACGCATCCGCTTTCGATCTCTCTCCGCTTACATTGCATTTTTTTTATATTTATTTTATTTTCAATTTGCATCGCTTGCTGTTAGATTTGCCTTTTCGGAATGCGCTATTCGAAATTGAATGTGACGATGTCATGACGATTCGTGGTAGTGTTCCTGTGATTCAAATTCAATGCTGGTTTTTTGTTTTGTGTGATTGTAGTTTGAGATGGGGATATACCTCAGCACTCCCAAAACAGACAAGGCCTCTGAAGATGGGGAGAACGACAGGCTTCGCTTCGGTTTGTCTTCCATGCAGGGCTGGCGTGCTTCCATGGAAGATGCTGTATGTCACTATCTTCTTCGTTTGGTTTATCTTATTTCGTTTGTTTTTTTTTTTTTATGCAATATGTCATTGGATGCTTTGGTTGTACACATGGGAAGTTATTGTGAGAGTAGTGCGAGTTTATTGCCAGTACTATTAGGCAACCAAGTGTAAGGAAGATCCTAATCTTATTGATAGTATGACATATTGACATAATAGTGGTAGTGTAGTGATTGACAAACTAATTTTGATATTTGCGCAATTGACTGAGAAAGTTCTGAAAGGAGTAGTTTTCTTGTTCAAAGAAGCTTATAGATTACGCTTTTTCATTGTTAATCTGCTGTCATGAACAGACTAGAGAGCAAAAGTATCAATTATTTGTGGCACCTCAATTAAAGTTGTTTCTGTCAGCTATTGATGTCGAATTGTCAATGTGTAAAGGTAGCATGATTTTTCAATTTTTCAGAGGGATTCATTTCTCTCCTCTAGTATAGTTTTACTCGTGAGAAATTGCTTCTCTTTGGAAGTGAATTGCATATATATGATGCAGATGCTTGTGCCTTGATGCTTTTGTACTTCAGTCTTCAGTAGCACATTATTATATTACAATCTATTCAATGGTGTATACAAGTTTTGATTTCTTATACATTACTTGCCAGCATGCAGCTCATCCATATTTAGACGAGTCTACATCTTACTTTGGTGTTTATGATGGTCATGGAGGTTGGTATCAGCTCTTTATGTTTTCAATGATATTTATTTAATGTGTCCATTCTCCTTTTCAAAAGCAGTGAGGGAATGATTTTTTTTTTATATTGATTCCTTTATCATTTAAATTGAAATTAATTTTGATCTGTATCTTACTATTGGAAATGTCCCTGTAAAATATTATATATGGGAATTTATTTCCTTAGGAATCTGTGCAGTGCAGAAGGGGTTTCAAATGTTTGATATTGCTTGAAGCTTGGTCCTTTCATTTTGAAATTTCCTTTGGAATCCACCTACCAGTAAACTTAGTGTTTTCTTTTTGGGTCACTGATCAGCTTTTCATTTTTTTTTTTCCTTATCTGCTTTCTGTTTTCCCTTAATGTGACATTTTCTGTTTTCAAACTTGTCATAGGACATAATTAAATAATTGCATTATTTTTCCTTTTCAAATAATTGCTTTGTAATAGCATTGCTTCATTATGTTATATGTAGTTCACAAGTTTAATATTTTTCATTATTGACAAACAAAATCCGTATAGCTTAAAGATTTTTGGCATATTTTATTGAATTAGATTCATCTGATATCATATTTGAGTTTGGACAGGAATGACCTTCCAATCTACTTCACATCTAGAATGTCCCTGCCCCCCACCCCGCAAAAAAAATTATTTATTAATCTGAGACTTTGTTCTGTTGGCTGTGATAAGGTAAAAAAGAGGAGGGGGAATATCCTCCTTTTATGGGGTGCGTGTGTGTGCACTTTATTTATTTATATTAGACTATTAGCCATTCCAAAGTTGATTAATATTGATTATAGTTTAGTTGAGGACTTTAAGATGTTTATAAGACTTAATTAAATCATTTCTAAATTAAGGTTATGGCCTAATCAGGCTGACATATATAACTTATTGGCAAACATGTAGTTTATAATCCTCAACATGGTCTCACTGGTTTGTAGGCAAAGCTGTTTCAAAATTCTGTTCCAAGTATCTACACCAGCAGGTGCTTAAGAGTGAATCTTACCAAGCTGGTGATATAGGCACATCTTTACACAAATCTTTCCTCAGGTAATTTTGTGTGTGTGTGTGTATATATATGTGTATATATATATATATATATATATATATATTATTTTTTTAATATTTTTCATTAATATGGCAATAAAAGTTAGGGGTTGGGATAATACTCATAATAGGGTAGGCGCCCTTCATCTGTAAAAGCTAATTTGGCTTAGTCTCTATCATGTGGTATAATATGTTCAACTTTTGCACCAAATGATTTACCTTATCTGTCTACTTTATATGCCCCCATGGGAAATTTAGCATAATGGTCTCTTTCAAGATACAAGTATAGCTGGAAACCAAGTTATAGGCACTTACAAATAATTTTAAAACAATTTTCTTTTCATCTTTTCCTGTGAGTTAATAAAGTTTTAAATACCATGCTTCATTCTTATATAGCTTCATTTTTTTTCAAATACCACATCTCAAAATAATAATGAATAAAAAAAATTAAATAAAGAAGCTTTAAAAGGACTCTCATGTCAATATGTGGAAGCTTTATGCTTGTTAAAAGATTAGAAATCATAAAAGGACACTCCTTAGCTGAGAGTGATTTTCAGAATATGGTGTTTATTTTTACTTGTATTTCTTTTTCTTCATGTTTAAAATCATTTCCACATTTGGGGCATTATAGATCTGTAAGTTTCATGCTCAATAGTGGAAATGGAGATATAGAGTTTAGATGGAAGTACTACTGTCAAAATTTTGTCCTCTTTATTTATATTTTGCTTCATATTGAGGCAGAATGGATGAGATGATGCGTGGACAAAGAGGTTGGAGAGAATTAGCAGTCTTGGGAGATAAAATAGAAAAGTTGTCTGGTATGCTAGAGGGTTTTATATGGTCTCCCAAGAGTGGTGAAGCCAATGACCGCATCGATGATTGGGCTTTTGAGGAGGTAACAAATAAAGACAACATTTTGTTTTTCTTGCACCACCACTGCTTTCTTTTCTAAATTATTCCATTGTTCCAAATGCATGTTGCAAATGTTCAAATGTATGGAATTTAAGCTTATAGTCAGTATGTCATAAGCTCTTAATTAAGCTTAGTTTTTTTTTCTTTTTGATTAACTTTTTTTATCAAATGTAAATCTAATATTAAAAAACCACTTTAATGTAATTTGAATATACTGGTTAGTATATGTATTGGTGTTGATGAGTTATTTGCACAACTCTCTTTGCTTAAACCGCTTACAAACTGAGCAGCATTTGTAAATTATGAATTACCACTTTCTTAAACCTGATGGTGATACTTTGCTTGTGAATATTAGAATTCAATACTTCAGCGTTGTTTCATGTGTTGTGTAAATTGTCTACCTCATGCATAGAATGCAATTTCACTGTGATAGACTTGTGTATGAATCCCCTTAAACCTTAAAAATCCACTCTTGTAAGATGTTAAGATCTAGGTAACCATTTGACAATGACAGAGGGCCCTTTCTGATTAAATGATTACAACTACAAAATATAAGGTTTATTTTTTGAGGTGCCTTATCCTATAGCTTTGTATCTTCCATCCTTTCTCAATAAATTGGAAGAATTACAATGACTTCCCTTGAGGTCTTTTTAAATGATACTCACACCCCTTTTAATTTGTAAAAGGCACTCACCTCCCCTGAGATAGCATCAAAGAATAACCCATTAAAATTTTGGTATTCTCCATCTATTCATGGCCTGAATATCAATTTTTTATGAGAAAAATTAGACAATGAAAAGAAAAGTGAGACAAAGAGCAAGCATTTACTAGTTATACATAGCAAAATTGTTGATAAATTGGAGGTGCACATCATAAATTTGTCTCTACAGCATACAATTGCATTTGCCTTCTTAAGAACTGTGGTGTGCATCATTGTGAAAGAAGCCTTGTGGGTGTCTCCCGTCAACAGAGTATTGTCTGTTATTTTGTAGGGTGTCACTTGATTAAACACACAAGGGGTGGGTGTTTGTTTAAAAACAAAAGAGGGTATGAGTAGGGTGAAAACATGCCAGGTCGCTCAATAAGAGCCTATGATCTGGTCGACATCATGCTTAGTTCAGGCCAGCTTCTTTAGAAAATAAACTAGGCCATTTAAAAAGTCTTTGGGCCTAAAAGGCTGACCTATTTAAATAAACATAGATAAATATTTGTTATTATTATATTAGATCGGTTATAATGTATTAAAATTACATATTTATTTATCTTTCTAAATGTCAAGCATTAACCTCCGTAAAGAGTCAAACTTATAAATCTATTAAATGATAAATTTATGTCCTATTTAGAGGTTTTATTGCAAAGTATGTTTCTAAATAAGTTATCATAAATGTCAAAGTAAACCTTGAAAATATACTTGTATCATATACACAGATTAGACTCTGATTCTTATATAGCCTAATATATGTATTTTCACCTCTATCTTGGTATTAACTTATTATAAAATGGATCCTTAAACTAGTTTGTAGGCTAACCCAATCCCTTCAAAAAGTCCTTTTTTACTAAGGCTAGGCTCAGACTTAGCAAAGCTCAACTTAGCCTATTTCCATTTTCCATCAGTTGGTGTGAGCGTCATTTGAGAATATCTTGGGGGAGGTGAGGTAGTTTTCCTAATAGTTCTTTGTTTTTCAATAAGAAACTACTACAAATTATAAATTTATAAGGTCTGAAAGTGGGGCATACAGCTTCTGAATCCTACTATAGTAAGTTTTATTCTGAACTGAGAAAATGTTATGTTGTAAATTAGGGACCCCATTCCGATTTTGGTGGACCAAACTCTGGAAGCACAGCTTGTGTGGCTGTCATCCGAGGAAAAAAACTTGTTGTTGCTAATGCTGGAGATTCTAGATGTGTCTTATCAAGGAAAGGCCAGGTATTCTCTCACCTTCTTTTGCAGTTTGTTTATCTTCTTTAATTCTAGTAGGCATGCGATATAAAATTATTGGGTAAAAGTTAATGATGCGCAGATATATGAATATATGATGATAAAGGGTGTTAATTCAGGCTACATTTTTTAATTGAGATAAATATTTTGGTAGACGCATTTTGATGCACCATACTTTATCTTTAACATTAAAGGTGTGTTTAGATCAGAAGTGAAAGAGTGAAAAGAAATAGGAAGGATTAACTAAAATATAAAGAGTAGAAAATGTGTTGTTTGGATAGATAGAAATAAAATGGGAAGCAATTTTTTTTTCCCATTTGTTTGGATAAATGAAAAAAAAAATTTGTATAAAAAGGTTTTTATAATAATTAAAAGTAACTTGACATCTATAGATGCATCCTTCCAGAGTCTAAGATTTCCTTGCTCCTGTTATCACACTCAATGCTTCTGACTCATTGTCCAAAATTATTAGATTGCTCGATTTAGTGTCTGAGTTGATGCCTCTTAAAATAGTGGATTAAGCCTAACTCAACCCTATAAAACCGGCTTGAAAGGTGAGGGTTGCTGTCCACTTATATATTATTCAATTGTCTAATCTCTAGACGATGTGGGACTTGAATTTTTCCCATACACCCCCTCACGTCCAGCACTATTAGGTTTGGTACGTGGATAAATGGTGGGTGGCCCTTTTTAATGATTTAGGATTAGCGAGACTTGAGTTTTTCTCAATACACCCTCTTATGTTTATGGTGCATGTATCAATGGTGGGTGACCTATTTTTAAGAATCTAGGATAGCTCTGATACCATCTTAGAATAGTGGATTAAGCCTAACTCAACCCTACAAAACCGGCTTGTAAAGTGAGGGTTGTTTTCCACTTATATATTATTCAATTGTCTAATCTCTAGTCGATGTGGGACTTGGTTTTTCCCAATAATGCCTTGGGTGCATGGGACCGCTATTGTTCGACTATATTCATACTCAAGAGTTATTTAATGAATTTTTATTTGCAGGCACACAATTTGTCTAAAGATCACAAGCCTGATCTGGAGGCTGAGAAAGACAGGATTCTAAAAGCTGGTGGTTTCATCCAAGTTGGACGGGTCAATGGAAGTTTGAACTTGGCTAGAGCAATTGGTAGTAGAAATTCTTTTGTCAGAAATTTTTAATGTACAGAAATATATGAGGGGTTTATTTTTCTCCCGAATGTTTTATAGTTGCTGTCATGAGATTTTTTTTATTTCCTTCACCAGTTCCTAGTGTTCGTGATATAAATTTCTGTCTATTCCAGGAGATATGGAATTCAAGCAGAATAAGTATTTGCCTGCCGAAAAGCAGATTGTGACAGCTGAACCGGACATAACTTCAGTAAGTATTGCACTATTATACATTATTTTATTTTATAAAGAAGTTAATATTTATGGAATGACTTTTTTTGGGGGCCTCCTTTTTTTGTTTAACTTGCAAATCTTTTTGGAAAAAAGTACAATATGATACAATATGAATTCCTTATACATCTTTTGGTATCAGTTAAAGTGAAATCTTCCTTTATAGTGCTATTTTCTATTTTCTTTGCTCCAATTTAAATTTATGTGTATTTTCTTTGGATCAGGTTGAGCTTTGTGATGATGATGAGTTTCTTGTAATAGCTTGTGATGGAATATGGTAGGTTACGTGGCTACTCAACTTTCCTCTAGAAACTTCATTGTTATTATGAAATATATATAGAAGGCAAATATTCCTATTTTTATTTTGTAATTCTCACCATAATTAATCTAGGTTTATATAACCTCTTTTGTATATAGGGATTGTATGTCTAGCCAACAGCTTGTGGACTTTATACATCATCAATTAGAGACGGTAAGTGTTGTACGGTTACATTTTATTTACAGAAAAAAAAAATTGAATACGCATTCACATTGTTGTAATTGAAAACTCTTATCATTTATGAAAAAAAAATGTTGAATATGCAGGAGAATAAACTTTCTGCGGTTTGTGAGAAAGTATTTGATAGGTGCTTGGCACCGACAGCTGGAGGTGAAGGTTGTGATAACATGACCATGATATTGATTCAGTTCAAAAAACCTTCCAGCCCAGATGCTTCAGTTGCGAACCAGCCCCAATCGTCTGCCCAATCATCTGCCCAATCTTCTGCGCAGCCCCAATCATCTGAAGCTGATAGAAGTTCAGAGAAAAGAGAATCAAAGTGAGAGAATTTGGGACCTGACTTGATAGCCATCAATTTCTTACTACATACATTGGTGAGCAAAGGTTCCTGGGTACTAGTTTATATCCAGATTTAAGGATGTTAATTGTCAATAGGGGATTGTAAATTTGTGACAAACTACTAATTAATGGGGCTAATATTGGCTTTGTACATAAGCGTGGGTGTCTATGTCTACCCAAAAAAAGATTCAACAAGCATACTGATACACATTGGATGGCTAAAATCACCTTTTTGAAAACTTGCCAATGCCAATATGAGCGCCCACCGGAAGAGTGCGTAAACGATCGTGTCTGGGTTCATTATCCATGATCAGTACAAGTTTCTTAAGGATTTGGTGCAATGTACGGACTTATATACAGGTAATCCTTTTGTTTCTGCACTACAAAGAGTCAAAGACCCCTCCGTGGGTTGATGCACCCGTGATGCTCTTGACATTATTGCTATATTTCTTTTTTGGAAAGTATACTTCCTCCGTGATTTTTTGTTTGGTTTTGTTATATCTACGTTTATTTATATGCAAATTTAAATTACTGGTTCCAAAGTCATTTTGGAAACGCTGAGGATCTTGATACCCGATAAAAATGTTAATATAACTTGGTTCAATTAATTTATATATTTGGCCAAAAGTCGTTTTTTAGAATAAAATGCTCTTTATGTATTCTGCTTTTCGTGCAACCATGTTTTCCTTATTAGTTATTTCATGACAGTTTTCCTCCTTTACAACTAATCTGTAAACCAATTTTTTATAGGCTAAAACAAATTTACAGAAATTTTAAAATTAAAAGTTCTAATACATGTATTTTATATTTTCAATATAAAAAACTATTGTTTAAATCAAATTTTATATATTTGAATGTTTTATCTATATTTAACAGAATACGTATAATACATGTGATACTTCCATATACCAATATTAATACTCAACATGCTTTTATATCTATTTATCCACTGATAGTTTGTGCAAAAAGCACTAAATTTTCAGAAATTATATAATGGTTTTCAATCGTAAATTGTTCTAAAAAAAACTGGTAAAAGTAGAAAATAAAATTTCAAAATGAACTAATGTTAATTTGGTTGATATGATGAGGTCTTATGCTGTTGTTAGTGGTCTTTAAACTTTCAACATACATTCATGGAGGGTATTAGTTAGCAGAGAAAAGAGCTCTAAGATGACACCCATTTGTCTGATTGTCGTGGGTTGATTTCGTGATAAATTGTTTGCTGAAGAAATAGGCATCTCTTTTGTCAGATGGAGCTGATTCTTGTTTTGTCCGTCTTTTTTTGCTTTCTGATGACTTCAAAAAAGGAAGGTTAATGACAATTTAGCGTTTCACGCCTTTATATTATAAATTAGCATTTTCATTTATGCATTATATATGTTAAATGTTTATGTTTATTTTTATATAATTAAAATTTATAATAAAAATAAATATTTTAAATATATAAGTTTTATTATATTTAAAATGGATAATGTCTGAAAGTTATATGTACATGTGAAAATAAATAAAATATAAAAAATAGATAATTGAGTGAGCGAGGAAAACTGAAAATTTCACTCTATATTATGTATTCTACTACTTGGTGATATATAAACATATTACTTCAAATTTTATATATCACATAAATTTTAGATTTAAATATATTTTTAATTATATAAAATAAGCAAGATTTGATTTTAATTTCAGCAAAAAAATTTAATTTTTTATCTTTTAAAACTTTTAAATATTTATTTTATTTTTTATAAAAGAAATAAATTTTAATTTAATTCTTATAAAATATTTCTTTTTTTATTTTTAATCTTTTAAATTCTAAAGTCACTATTTTTAGTTTATAACGATTATTTTAAAATAGAAAAGTAATATTTATTTTAAAAATTTACAAAAATTTTTGAAAAGTACCAAATATCGATATAATATTATTAATAATTATAAATAATTTGAGATGATTATTTCATTTTTTAATAATTAAAAATAATTATGTAAAAAATAAGATTAAAGACAATAATTTTTATTTTATAAGATAAAAAAAAATTATAAAGATCAAAATCAACTGTTAATTTTATTAATAAATTTTTAAATATAAATTTTAATTAATCAACCCTTTAAAAATTCAGTAAAATAAAACGTTTAAAAATATTTATCGCAATAGTGTATGAAAATTAAAATATTATATAAAGATATAATATATTTAAAGAAAAAGAGATATGAAGAGCCAGAACAAAGTGAACAGACAAGCAACGTGGACCATCTGAATTCTGATCTTTGGAGCAGAACTCTGATTTAGATGCTATCATGGTCGCATGTGTGCCGCGTGTCCATTCATTAAGACTCTTTGTCGGTTTCTTCACTTTCTGAGAGGAACTCTTCTTATCCAATGCCTTTTTCCAGTATTATTTCATCACGTTGTTTAATTTTTATGGAAATTTTTTTTTGAAAAATGAAATGATGCTTCCTTCAAAGTAGAAATAATTTTTTAATTTAAACGAGAATTTAATTATGATACACTTAAATTATAAATTATTATTACAATAGAATGTATAATAAATCTATTAAATTATATAACAATGAGTTTTTTTTATTAGTATATAACAATGAGTTTAAAAATCATTTTTAACAATTTTAATTGATTGATAATTAATTTTTTTATACCTATGATTCATGTAAATTAGATACTTTAAAGAATGTTTAAAAAAAACTTAAAATATTTGTCCAATAGTGAGAAGATAAACAGAGAGTCAGAGACTTGAACAACGTGCCATCAAATTAAAAATTGTGTTTGATTATTTCTTCCGCGTATCTTTTACTATTTTTTTATTTTATATTTTTAACATATATTTTAAGATCACGTTTTCTTCACAAACGCCACATCAAATTCGCCACGTGGAAGTTTCATTATTTATGTCACTAGTCAATGTTCATTTATTTCGTTTGTTTTCCCCTTCTTCGGCCCTACTTTTCTCAAATTCATACTTTTGTTTGGTCCAATTCAACCAAAAGATTTTTTCTTAAAATTCGTTATTGCAAAATTTACAATTTGCCTTTCAACTAATCCACTTAAAAATTATAAAAACAAATTGTGTTTCTTTGCCATTCACACACACACACAAAATATATTGACTTTATTACTAAATATTTATTTTATATAGTAAAAATATTTTAAACATATAAACATGTTATAGTTATAATTTATAATAAACAAACATCCCTAAATTTATAATTTGTGTTTTATATTAGGATAAAAAATTTAAAGTGTAACATAAAATTATTTTAACTATCAACTATATTTTTAATGGATTAAATTAAAAGAAAATCCCATTTTTAAATATTTGTGTGATATATATATATATATATATATATATATATATATATATATATA